TACTTCTGAACGATTTAAGGCATGATTTTGTCTTTATGGTCCATTAAATGTCGGAACCTTGGTGGCTCTGGTGGTCCCATATTTGGTCGCTTATTTACATCGTCACATTACTTTATTGTAAGGTTATTAGACCTTCTCATCCGTTTTCTGCTGCCCATAGATAAGTAATTTTTGTAGTAGATGATGGAGGAAATGAATTTTTGTTATTTTTGACATCAACTGATTTGGAATCTCGCCTAAAGTCAACATCATTCCTGAGCATTCAGTGCTTGTGCAGGCATTATTCAGAATTTTCATTTATTAATGTTGGCGAAAAATTCCTCGGAATCGGTATAAAATCTCAAATCGGTTATTTTTAGCAGTTGTTCTTAACATCCTCTGAATAACTTTTTTTTCCAAATCCATGATTGACTGTATCCTATTAATCTCAATTTGATGCCCATTTAAGGTGGATTTTATTGAAGCAGCTGCATATTCACCATCTGAAGAACTGGACCCACCTCCTTGTTGTTTGTGCCGCAATTGCTTGAGAGTGGTAGCTAATAAGTTCTTTTGGTCCACACACTTTATGCTTCTAACTTTAGCCCTTCTGCATGTGACACAGTTGTAAACGACTGCGATAATTTTACACCTATTCCTTTTTCCCCATTTATGAATGCTAAAATTACCACTCATTCGAAAAAATCATCTCCATTGTTTTCTTTGTTTTAAAAATGTAGCTAACTCGGTTGTCTATTAGTTAATCAAAGTACTGACGGTTTGCTTGTCAGGTGATAAAACACTGACAAATAACCTTCGTTCATCAACTTACATGTATTTTGATGAACTGTCTGAGCTTGAGTTTCATAGTCTCCACCGACCGCACCTCCCTCTGGGCGGCTTGGCTTGATAAAACATTCTAACAGGGCTGACGTTGGATGCTGCAGCTCATCAGCAGAAAAGTTGCGCCGAGTGTTTACTTCATTTTTGGCCACCCTTTTGAACTACGTACAATTTGTAGGGATCGAGATATCCAAAGTCTATTTTAGTTTGCATTTCCTACAATGACAGGTTGGTCGTAAACTCTCCCTGCGCCTGGGTATTAATATTTTATCAACTCGTGCCCAAATATGGCTTAAAAAGGGCGACCGCAGACTACCAACACACGTGTTAAACTAGTAAACTCAAAAGGGTACTTCAAAACACTTCTCAAGGGTTTATTAGTTGTTTTACTGATTCCTCCTGAGATTAAAGCATTTTATTTTGACGTTGATGATTGGTTTTGCCAAATGCATAAACGCAGTGCATAAGAACAATGCCTTGGATGTACATTTTATAGGGTAATGCAGAGTCTTAAATGCCTACGCTATTATCTCTCTCCATTCACCGTTGCGTGTCCTGCCAACCCCTGAGTGGCTTCTTTCCTAGTCCACAGAAAATGTCTTCCTTCAATTCGCGGGGTTTTGCTTGCGGTACTGCTTTCTTAGAACCACCCACTTTTGACAGGTATAGACCTGTTCTGCAAATATGCATCGCCAATGAAAATCTCGGACGCAAAATTTGGGTGCTTGAATCATTTGTCTACCTTTTAACTCTAACAAATGCACAAGACCCTTTGCCTCCTTAAAGATGAAAAATGGCAGAGAAGGAGCGTTGAAATTCCTCCTCATTTTGCAGCACCAATAGACTCCACCATTCGTTGGACTTTCTTCGCAAAAGAAATCGCATAAGCCGGTCCTAATTGCCACAGATTGCTTTTTACAACTGATTAGTGAAAAAAAGCAGTTTAGAGAAGCAAGCTGATTCAAACAGCAAAAAATAACTCGCGATGCGATGCCTCTTCACTTCTGAATGTCACCAAACATTGCCACACTGCCAGGTTCTTATTGATGCATGCCAGTGTACAATCAAACCCGTGCCTTGGTGAAAATTCTACCTTTTCTCATTGCTTCTGTCACCCCTTTAGACCACTTATATGTTGCTCTATCGACACACCCTTAGCATAGCTTTTAAAACAACCTAATTACCCAGATGCGAAAAGTGTGGAGCCTTTGGTATGCTTATCCTGTCGCAATGGCCTCGTTGATTGCAAAAGCGAAGTGTTTGAAAACTCAAGTGGTCTGCTGTGGTACGGTTTCAACAATGCGCCTTTTGTAATTATCCATGAAAGCAGTAAAATGCAGATTGCGCCATTCCACTGAGAACAGAGCGAGTAAAGGTATTGGAGTTTCACACTCCGAATTTAGTAATTTTCAAGTTATCAACATGCTCTCTGCTTAAGAAAAATCCTATTCAATAAACCACTCCATCGGGCTGTACAGCGATACGCCAAGCCGAATAATAAATTTGAGCCCTATCGTAGTCCATCAGAGCATTTGACATTGGTCAGTACTTTTTGTAATCAAAATATTGAGTTTCTTTAATAATTCAAACTTTACAAAGAGAATCAAAGAGGTACAAATTCACCAAGGCCTTCCACTTCACAACACGAAGGTGGCAAATTTCCCCTCTTTCCTGGTGATATGCTCTTGATTAAAAACCCAGTCATTGCTTCAAGATTAGTGCAGTCATCGTTCAACCTCCCTATTTACAATATGAAACAAAAATGTTGGTGAAATGTCTCTAGCGTATTTAACCAGTTCCTAAATAAACTGTTTACAATTAACTTGGTTGCACTTAGATAAGTGAGAGAAAAGGTGCCATGCACGGCACGGCATCTGATTACACCATCAACGTCATTCACAACTACCTCTCGTGGGGATTTCCCGAAGTCAGCACAGCGACACCTTGTGATTGGAATGCAGATGATGCGGATTGACAGTTCAATCGACAAATATTTGGGCAACGCTTGCCACCATCTCAATTAATGTTGTCCGATGGATCGATAGGGGCAAGAAGAGGTGACATCCTTCAAGCTCACCGTGAATTTTACAGTTTGTCAAAGTTTGGTCACGCCAATGTCACAGCCCCCAAGGTGCCTTTGCGTCATACCTCACGGGGGAATTGTCCTCGAGAGATCAAATTGGTTGATGCTTTGCTTGCGTAACTGGCTCCACTTATCAGAACAGTTACAACTGGTGTTTAGGAAGGTAAACTTCCTTAATATAGCTTATGTCTACATTTTATGGCCACACTTTTGTTATTAATGACTTTATTTTAACCAGTTTTTAGTTTAGGCAGACATATGATTCACGTGAATTACAGGTTTAACTATCATACATGCTTGTTTGAACGCATCATATAGGCTAGAGGCGGGGAGGAGGAAACGTACCTTGAACACGCTTAACCGCGATACCTCTTGTACTCCTTCATTCACCGTTACCCAATAAATCTTGTCCTAATCCAACTCGTCTGCTCATTCTAAGGCTATGGAGGAGACTATAAAGTGGCACAATTTTGGCAATTAGTTCTCTGTTCTGGGAGCGATTCAGGAATAATTTTGGGAAACACGACTTTATTTTACTAAGGAATACATCCACAAAGATGCGGATTGATTTTAATGTTTATATAAACGTTAAAATCTTTTTCCAATGCAATGGAACGTAAAGATGTGGAATACTTTGATTATTTGTTTAATTCCTCGTTTTGGTTTTACAGGCGCTGAAGGTTCCGCCTTGGCACTTCCGCTAAGCGGAATGGCCTTCGGACCGTGGCAGTGGCACCTAACCCTTCTGTAGGCCGACAATACATATTCTGCCCAAGTATTATGCCTCTTTTGGTCTTCAGGAAAGTCCTAGGGTGCCGCACATGAGCCCATAATCACTTGGTCACATTTTAAAAATGGTGGCAGATGAATGCATTTACAGGAATTGTAGTTAGAAAGTACCATGAAATTTTATTTAAATATTCATTAATAAATAATTCCCAAAACAGTCCTCGCATTTCGTTAAAAGGCGTTGAAGATGTATACCAAAAAACTTCGCGTTATAAGTGATTAAACAAGTAACCTGTGGCAGTTTTTGTCTACAACATTGACGATGCAATTATGGTGATGACACGGCTGGTTCCTACTGGAACTCAGTTTTTCGATGGTAGGCTAATTTGTGGCGGAAGCATTATCCATCACCCTGAACTTTGCCCTTTTTAGGCAAAAAAAACTTCAGTGTACATCCGGATTCTTTCCTATATTCATGTAAACACTTGACAACACTGAACCTCCATGTCACTCACACTAGAGTCCAAAAAAGTGGAAAATGCGAATCAGTAGGAAATCCTATTTTCCCCTCACCACTCCAATGTTTCCCTTTTACTTCTAAAATATCAAGGGTTCATAGTAATCTGCTTGTCAGTGCAATTTAACTAGCACAACTTAACTCATAATCCACTGTTTCCCAACTCAACTGTTTCCCCAGGATTCGACTAACACGAGGCGAGGCCATGAGGTAGGACTGGATCCTAGTGTTAATCGCTTAAAGACATTGGACAGACAACAGAAATACAATCTATTCAAACCGAAAGTGGCAAATTGCAGATCTTTATCTACTTGTCGACCTAGTTGTTGCCATACAGCTGCGTGTTCTTAAAATCCAACACTTCTCACACCGGGAGAGGCACACTAAAGGAGCTCAGGCATAAAATTGTTATATCACACATTCCCTTTCCGTTTCTGCCCTACCACCGAAGGAGGAATAATTGTGAATTTGGCATTCATTATACCGCACGCTGCTTACTCATGAGAATAATTTGAGGAAAGGAGATGACTTAGAGCGAACAATAGACATAACTTATTAGACCTAACTGCTTCCCTTATGGGATATCGGCATGTAAATCACCAACTCATTAAGGTTGAAAGGTTAGTTAGATTTTAAGCATGCTTAAGCAAAAACAAATGGTCAAAATTTTGATTTCATTCATACTTGTGAAACCACTAATAACAGTTAGCATTCAGTCAGAGGTGTGCACATTATGTCCTGCCAATGGCAGCATTGTCACAAGTGTAACAAAGATAGGAGAGTGGGGGGGGAGGGGGAGAGGAAAGTTCGCACTACAAACAGAGGCCGACGAGTAGAGCCAAAAGTACATTGAAATGGGTACGCATAGCCTCATGGCGCTCGTTTCAAACGATACATAATGCGGGTTTGGAATAATTACTCTGTAATTCGATCTGGATATGTAATTCCAATTTTAGCAAGTAATACAAAGGGCAAGTACGAGGGCAATATTCGTGCTCCAAAAGATTAACTTATTTCGGTAAAGTTTTAGTGAAGATATCATGAACTTAATAAAACCAGAACATCAGAGACTGCAACGGATTTAAAGGACGAAATAACAAGATTTGAAGGCGTAATTAGGTGAGAAACATAAGTGAAAAGTAGATGAATGGGTAAATGATTGTGAGATATTTTCACCTGCACAAATGGTAATTCAAAGAGCAATGTGATTGCCGGAAGCTGACCAAAATTTATTTATGTTAGATATGCGATAAAACATCCAAAATACTTGTTGTCTGAGTAATTCAGCTTTATTTTTTAGTTACTGGAATGCCAATAGGGAAAAACTGGGTACTTAAAGAAAACTATATAAACCAAAGGCATCCATCATATAACCCGATATATTGCCTCTAAACTCAGTAAAATTTAAAAAAATTAATTTTTTACCTTTTGAACGTTTGAATGTTGATTCACGGAGAATTAAAATGTCAAAGACTCGTGTGTTCATTTTTACCACGCTACTGTATCACTAATAAACTTATTCAATATAAGTAAAATTTACATGATTTACCAGACAATTTAAAAAGTTAGGGGCAAATCTTCGCCAACTTTCTTAACAAACATTTCACAAAATTTGTTGTAAAAGACCAATTGAACACACGTTCCTACCTCATCGTATTTTGAAATTGTCTTTGCTTCAGCATGGCTGATCAGGAGACTGGTGCGGGTTTGGCCATATCAAATCCTCCAGCAAGTATGTCAAAAATATTCTGAAACAGTTTTCTTGAAGCCAAGGTGGGTAACATGCGCATTGCTCAAAAACATAGAGATACTGTTGAGAAACAGCTGTCAAGGTCGGAGTACTTGAAACAAGCCCACGAATACAACTCAGAGTAGCTTCTTCATTTCCAGTAATTGACTCTTTTCAGAATAATAGTTCCACCAAAGCACGATTTTGAAACTCGGGAGGAGTTGGGATTCCATGATCAGAGCGTCGTTTACAGCCAACAGAAACCACTTCCGCGTATTTGCAAGGCATCAAAACCTGCCCAGCCGATCATTCACCAACCTCGTAATGATTAAGTCCGTTAACAACGTGTTTCTCTCGTCAATACTAACTGATTTGCCAACGAACATGTGGCCTTTTAAACACTCTTCTGTAACTGTTAATGGAAGGAGGATCAGGGGGAGGGGGTACTTATAATCTATCGTATTTTTCACCATGTATCATGGTCTGGAGCTACATTTTACTTACAGTCTCCGAGGTGTGCATACTGTATGAGCATGGGCGAATGGGATTGGGAAGTGGCTGTACCTATTTGCTTGTTGCAGCTGAGTTATGCAGCTATCAAATTACCTCATCGAGTTCGAATGCGGGTGGGGGATGTTCGCCCAAACGTGGCTTTGTTACGAGGATGCAAGACATTTGATTAATTAGGTAGGATAGGTTAGTATTTATGGATGAGATGGCACTTGGAAGTCGATGAAGCCGAGCCGTCCAGTCCCAAATTGCGTCTCGTTTGGTTCTCCTTGGTATTTCTGGCCACCCCTCTGCAAGAGGAAATGGATTGATGCGGTAAAAGTGTGTAGTCCCGATATCTGTAGGTTTGTGCGCTAGCTAATTATGTCTTCATGTATCTGTGGCTCCAAGGGGGATCTTTCGGCTAAGGCCATCGTCTACCAACGCAAGAGAGGCTTTGTGAAATTGCGAAATGCAGATCTAATACTCTTAAAGTGCTTAATCTGCTAAAATTTTTGGAAAGGACTAGAACAATACACATTATAAAATCAGTTCCAACCTACCGCCTTTCCTTACTATGGGAATATTTTTCTCGTGTTAGATGCGTATATTTGCCAAAGCATGAGCCAACCTTTTGGTTAAATTGCCCACTGGTCCTCGATTATTAGACCGTAAAAATCCTCCTGCAAATGTTTTGACTTATCGCAAGCAGTAGTTTTCTTGACTAAAATTATCTGATTTGTTGGATCTTTTAAACACAGCCAACTTAATATTCCATCACTTTAGCTCACCATCCGGATAGAAACCAGGGGTGTATTTGAGGTATAAAGCACCCATTTAGTTAAAATAAGGAAAAAATTAAGGAAATACTCTTATTGGGTCATAGCAAGCTTGAATAACAATTGTTTCTTTTAGAAATTTCACTGAAGTTCAACTTCATTACACTCAAACGTTACTTTCGTTTCCTCTCCGGCTGTGTCAACAATTCTTGCATTGTGCCATTAACCAGGGTGTAGGTATTTCTGCCTAGGAGTAAAACTTTTAAGAAAACAAATCTTCCGATCCAAAACTGCATGTTTTTTATGCTAAGTTGTAAGAACTGGTCTGCTATTTTAACCAAAACACCACTTGACATCACATGACAAGACGGCAAATCGATGCCACGATGCCACCGAAGACGGCACACTGGCGAGCTGCACACGCATGTCTTGTACTGGGACGGACTAGATAACGACGGAGAGAACTGTCGAATGAGTAATGCAAAACTACTGGGTTCACATTCATAATAAAGCAAAATATTCACCAATTTTTGTGGGGCTTTTAAAATTGTCGCTTTGTTGAAACGATTGGAAGGAATTTTTGTAACTTAAGGAACGAAAGACAGTATCGTCTCCGAGTTTCCTACTGCTATAAATACATGTATTATAACGTGGAGGCTACTGGCATTGCCAGGAGGCCGGGCCACCTGGCTGAGCCCTAAGCGACCCGTGTTAGCACACGTTGGAAAAATTTGATCTAGCATAATTCGACTCGCAGTAGTTGGCGGTGTCCCCATGAATTTTTTGTACTCCAAGAGACTCAAATGCATGCATGACTTCTAGATGCATGGCAAACCACAAAGTGGCCTGCCCTTGAGGTCATATGAACGAGTAGTCTCATTTTGGCCCGAGGACTGTTGGCAGATGTTAAAAGTGCAAAAGTGGAAAATGTCAAGTGCGCAGCTTAAAAAAAACTCTTGGACTTTTTGACTCTTTCGCACAGAGGTGGTTTGTTATAATTTTTGGAGGTAAATTGCGCTCAATTAAACCAGTAATTACTAGGTTAATGCAGTATTATTATCTGTCCCTTGGAGAGCACGTCAATTTACCACAAACGACTGCAAATTCTCTTAACATGTGTTTACACAGTTTTGAAGAGTATTTACAACTAGAGAAAGGTACTTTGGTGAAGAAAATAAATAGAATAAACAGTTTTTTTGGTATCTTCTTTTATTTGACCAGTTCAGCGCGAAATTATCTTCGAAGTAAAAATGGGACTCAAAATGCCTTTCTGACGCAAAATTTGTGAACCTCGAATTCACAAATATAACTTATCTTTATTTTTAAAACTATCCCTGGCATAGCTTTAGTGGGCCAAGATCGAGATAGCTCACCCACCACCGACTCATGAAGAGGCAACAACAATCAAACCATTCGATGGCGGAAATGGCCATGCTTTGGATCATGGAAAAGCTGAATATGGCACCTTTATCCTTTTCTCTGCTTTGAAGCCTGTTAGAAGGGGCGATTGCTGTTGTAAAAAAAGACTGCACCCTAGTACAAACTCCTTTGTATGAAGTCATCCGCAAAAAATTCCGGTGATCTCATGTTCCATAACGTGGAGGTTGACCTTGCAGCCCCAATTCAGCTCTGGACCTCACGGTTTCAAGGATAATGAGCTCTTAAAACCTGTAATAAAACATCAACTTAGAATTTATTAAAACTGAAAATCGAAATTTTACTAAACAGAGAGAAAATTAAACCACTGTTCTGAGAAATAAATAAATTTTAGTAAAATGTTGACTATTTAAGAGACACGGTCAGAGCTATACAAAACCGCTGTAGGAGAATTGGTGTAGCACTTTGAGACTTTTCTGAAAAAGAAATTAAAGAAGTAACTAGAGCAGAATATGTATTGCTACCGTAGAGAAGGACTGAGGTCTATTGGCATGGTCTGGAGGCCATGCCGACCAGTGGAAGTACAATCCGGAGCCTTAAGTGACCGCAAAACCAAAACGATATGTTAAACACCCTGTTTTAAGCGTCGTTTGGCGTTCCTTTTGATCATCTTCCCGCCCCGGCTATCACAACATAGTCGATGCTGTAAAAAAATATTCACAAGCCAATCGTGTCAGTCATCGAATTCGCGTGCGATAAAGAAGATATCTGACGACGTCACTAATCCCTCTTGGCAGTTCTACCGGATGAGAAGTATCCTCTTGTTCGGCAAACTTTATTGGGGAAGGGAAATATAGCGGCTATCATGTATGTCCATCGCTGGTCAAATGAATACTGACCTTAAAGGAAAGTCCTTTGATGAAGGACGGGGCTTGAAATAGTCTCGTGGGGAGAGGTGAATAAGGTACTGCGCATTCGCCTAGGTAGGACCTTCACGCAGGTACTGTAGTCAGCTCCCTTACGAACTTTTCCAGGTAATTACGGCTAGCTTCGCTTCGGTTGTCAGTAGCATTTCTGCAGAACACGAAACTGGGGTACTTGCCGAGGGTAGGCGTCATCTTCAGCCCCTGTGTTAAGGGTCATCACAGATCCTCCCACCCGTAGCATATGGGTTCAGCAATACAAATCAGGGCAGATGTTTTTTTGGATCGCATTCGCTCTCCATCACCACAAATGTCTCGCCTCGAACCATTATTAGAGACGAAGGTAAGCGTAATACCCGGACAGAATGTGTATTGGTGAAGTGCAGAAGAAAGCCGAGCCGCCCAGCAGAGGTGAAAAGGCGGGGCCTTAAGTGCCTACAAAACCGAAACAGAGGGTTGATCCAATAAGCCAAGTATTACAATACACTCTTTGGAAATCCGCTAGCGAGACATTTTTAGTAGAAATATTGTAAAAGGGGTTGAGCAAATAGCTTTGAATTGATGCATGTAGGAAGAAAGTGGATTGTCTCTTTTTGGTAATGCAACAATCGATTTCAGTAAGATGGAAAAGATCTAGTGATGAGGTTGCCTGAGCGACCAAAGTGCTCATAACTGAACGAATTTTTGAAAACGTTTTGACCAAAGAAAAAGACATTTTTTTGGCTCATTGTAAATCCGGAGATGTATCTGGAGCGATAAAAAAGGACCTTTCTTTAACCACAAATTTTCAAAATTTAGGACTCTAAAAACCCTTTTGTTAGCAGCAATCAAATGCTGCCACCACAAAGAACCAATAGCCATATGAAACTACCGGATCCGATCCACTCAATACACCAATGATTCATCAAGTTCTCCCAGGTATCCTTTCAGTTTTCCAGAGTCAAGTGAACCATTATCCGTTGCATCCGACCACTGCATTTGTTTAATAGGTCAATGTTAAAGTTTTCTTTGCAACGTTCGGTTTAAAATCATTAGTCTGCAATAGTCATTCTGTTTGCTATAGAAATTAAAAACAATGGTACGTGAGTTCCTATTTACCCTCCTTGACGGCTTCCACAGTCTCTAATAGAATGCTTTCTCTTAATCATCAATGAGTGTTGATGCAAAATCCTCAATTTATCAACTGCATCGTCACGGTGAAGTTTAAACGGAATAATTTCAGCACTGAATTCATTTATCTGGTGCCGGGAATCTACACATTGTCAGTACTCACGATATATATGAAGAAGTTCGTGAAGATTAGACGAGTTCCGTGCAAATAAAGGCTGCAGTAAAATCCGGAAAAAGGTCTGGTCAGTAGCTTAAAACCATAAATTTGATGTATTACGGTTTGACGCATTTGACGTATGAAGGTGAATAACGAGATGAATTTGGTAGTGGCATTAAATAACTCAAAACTCAATGAGGTAAACAATACCTTTCAAAAGAAAAGAAGGCGAACCATAAGAATATATGTGAATACTTTGTAGCATCTGAAAACACTCAAATTGTAAAAGTCAAACTTTTGGTCTACCAGTCTCGTCCATAAACTTGCTAACTTAGAACTCGTGCAATTTTGTTGACCAGTTACTAGCTAAAGCTATACCAACATTCGTTTTAAAATATATTTAAATAGGCCTGCTCATCACTTTGGGCCGGCTTAGTTGTTGTCTTGGCAGTATGGCCTCCTGTCTGTGCCCATGGCTTCTCGTTCGCTCTGTGCACGAATGACAAATCTCCCTCCTCTTCCACTATGCCTTGTTGTGTCTTCGGTGACGAATCCTGGAGCTACACTGGCGACCGACCCAAATCATCAGCAATCCTAAAATCATGAACGGTTACGGAACCCGAGTCCTGCTGAAGAAGGGCCTCAACTACAAATGACTGAGTCTTTGAAGGCTCAATTCAGAGGAGTTGCTGTAACAACTTTGCTTTTAGCATGCCTTTAATATTAAAATCTGCAAAATGATCACTCGTGGAATGAGGTAGACCTTAACGAGTAGAATCTAAACTTCTAGAAATGCTTAACATATGGCCCTAGAAGCAATAATTTGCATCCGAGTTTAAGAGCATGATATTTCTCTTCTTCATATCAGGAAAACGATTGACTTAGCAATTATGGTCAGTAGGTAGTTTAGTCAGCTTGTAGGACCATCTTCCTAATCAGTTCTTCTTTAATGCAATTGGCCTTTTAAAGGGCGCCGTATTCCATAGTCATTGGTAAATTTACAGCGTGCAATATAAACAACAGGTGGATGGCCACTCCGAATATGCAAGTATGCGAAGGATGGAGGCTTATTTTTTGTTTGCGAATCAAAATTAGGAATGAATATGGGAGTGGGATAAAAAACGACCACTTTAGAATGCAACAAAACGGTGTTTCGAAAGAAGACAGAAACATTAGCAACAGAAAATGTGAAAATAAGCTTGAGAATTACTGTACGCCATCAACTCAACTTATCTAGGTTTAAGTAGTAAAAAAATTTTCAATTTGTATAGTTCGGCCTTCGGTTTAATGTCATATCGCCTCCGTGATGGAGAAATGTATGCCACTGTTGGAGAAATTTGAGTATTCACAAAAAAAGCGAAAGAGTTTGTTTGGTATCGAAGGCCTATTAGTGTAATGGGCTTTACTAACACCGCCTGCATGATTTTGTGCACAAACCCGTATCATCGACCCTTCTACTCGCCGGGTAGGACCATCCCATAGCCCATTCCTCTTGATTAAGTGACTTTACAAAAGCTCCCGAATGGCATTTTCTTTCCTGAAAGGCATTGTAGATCTAGTTACTAGTTATCTACCTCTCCACATCATTTGCAATTAAGTTCTACTATCAAAAACTAAAGACACCACTCTTATTTTGTGCTGCAGAGTAGAAATTCCTGCACTAGAGAAGTGTTCTGAATGGTGACATATTGGATCGTTTGAAGATAGGCCCAAGACG